CACAGCTAATTAGAAATTTTAACTCTACATATACTTAATTATTGAAAGCAAGTTGCAGAAGTTTACCTAAGCTCTCGTTTGTCAAATGAGAGGCCAGAACTACTTTTTCCTTTTGCAAGATTTGTTCCCCTGCACAATAACAATGACTAAAATAAATGGCACCAAATTTTTGGCAAGTCTTGTTTAATTCGGCATATAATTAAAATCTCATGTAGCCTTATTGGTTTTAGTATCCAGCAGAGAGAAAATATTGAAACTCCAAGAGATTTTGAATTAAATAGCTACAGCAGTTTTGTTTTATTAGTTCTGACTGTGTGAAAAAAAAATCATAAGGACAACTTTGGAAAAATTGAGTTCTTTTGGAGCCCCAAATGACTTTTAAAACAATAAAACAAACTATAAACCCTACACAAGTGATATTAAAATTATGTAGTTCAAGAAATGTGACATTCACAAATGTGGTTGTAATTTTTTTTTTCTTTTAACTACAGCAAAGTGGACATGGATCTATTGGGTTCTGAAAAGGCAGTGTTATATAGTTTAGCAGAATTAAGTGCTCCGGTTTGCTGGTGAGGATTATGTAGCTGGGTTGGAATGTCAGAATCAATGCCTCTGAGGTCCTCCACCCACTTCCCAGGGTCTGTGGCTGCAGCAGGGGAAGGACGGATGCACCTTTAACCCGCAATTACTTAACACTCCTGCACTGGTGCTTATTTCCCCAGCATCTCAATACTTACTTTCAGAAGGGTTACAGATTTACATCTTTTGGGCTGGTAGCTGCATCAAGCATAGACTGAACTGGCACCATAAACCCATACGTTCCTGAGTAGGCGAACAAACAAAAGGCTGGGGAGGTATTTCACGAAGAAGACTAGTTCCCTGCTAGTTCCCTGAGGTCCCAATTTGGGGGGGGGTATTCAAATACAAGTTTTAAAGACACATTTGGACTTCAGATAATACCAGTCCTTACTTGGTCCCTAGAGTCCTTGTCTTTCTGGAATCTAAAACAGGGACATTTCCATCCGGCCTGGTAATAAGAATGGTAGGAAAAGAGTCACCTGTGGAGGTGCAGATTCTGTAAGAATCTCCCCCAAATGTCTCCAAAGACATGATACTATTGTACATAGGCCCTAATGAATGACTAAAAACCAAACCAAAGCAAACAAACAAAACCTTTAAAATTGAGTGGTACCAGGTGTGGTGGTTCAGGCCCATAACCCTAATTATTTGAGACACTGAGGCACATTCATCCTGGACAATTTAGCAAGATCCTGCCTCCCAATAAAAGAGGGAAGGCTGCAGCTATGGCTCAGTTGATAGTTTTTGTTTTTTGTTTTTCCCCTAATGTGCATGAAGCTCTGTGTTTGGTTCTTAGTACTGCATAAACTAGGAGTAGCACATGCCGGGGAACCCCAGCACACTGGGAAGTGTAGACAGAGGGATGGAAGTTCAAGACTGTCCTTGGCTATTTATCCAGTTGGAGATCAGCCTGGGCTACATGAGATCCTGTCTCAAAAAAAATTAAATTAAAAGGAGCAGAAGGCATAGGCCAGCTGATGAGTATCTGCCTACTTTTGGAAAGGCTCTGGCTTCAACCCCTAGTAATACCCAACTTCGTGGGAATGAATGCTGCATGTTGGGTGTGCCCACAGAGGCCAGAAGAGGGTGTTGGATTACTAGAGGTACTAGAGCTACAAGCAGTTGCGAGCTTCCAGACATAGGTGCTAGGAACTGAACTTGGATCCTCTGGGAAAGCAGCAAGTGCTCTTAACCAATGAGCTGTCTCTCTAGCCCCACGCTAAAAAAGTCACTAATTTGCCTGATTGAATTTATGAGCACCATGTGCATGCAGGTGCCCTCAGCGACCAGAAGAGAGAATCTGGGATGGATCCTGGGTCCTTTGCAAAAGACTTTTAACTATTAAGCCATTTTCCTAGTCTCTTTTAAGTTTGTGTATGCATGTGTGTGGGCTCCTGAGTGCCACAGCCAGTGCATGTGTGGTCAGAGAGATACCTTGTGGATCAGCCCTCTCTTCACCAGGTCCCATTGATGATACTCAGGTCCTCAGGCTTGGAGGTGAGTGTCTTTATCCACTGAGCCATCTCTATGACACAGTGCTTTAGGTTTTTTAATATACAAAACTACTTATTCTTTTCTAGTTTTTATACTGAAAACTTTCAAAGCCACAGTGAAGTTAAAACTATAACACAACAAAGACCCATATGCTCTGCACCTAAACTCACTAATACTTTTTATGCGGTTTATCATCTTCTTTATATGTACACACACACACACATATTTATACTTGTGTACATATGTGTGAGTACAATGTATATACTGATCTACTTGAAGGTTACAGATATTATGATCCACATCCTTAAATTCTTTAGTTTGAATCTCTTAGTAGTGGATTTCCCAGTATGTAACTCACAAGACCGAAATCATACCTAACAGAGCACCAGCGAAATACTGCCATCTACGTATAAGTCATTTTTATTTCTTCTCCTTTGACCCCAAGTCCCAAGAATTCTCTGAGACCTTATCAGACTATCATAATCCTTATCTTGGGTTTCACTAAATAGTTACGTGTCTCTTGAGTCTTTCCTCCTATTTCATCTCCTGAATCAATAAACTTGCTGTATGAAACGTTTTCTAATCGCTATTTCGTATGATGTGTGTTGTGGGCACTCATGCCATGCGCTCCAGTGGAGGGGCTCTCTCTCCATATTTTCTTTCTTTTGTTTCTTGTGGGGTCTGGAGTGTGAGGTCAGGCCTTCAGGTATACAGCACAGGGAGGCAATCTCTCATAGGCTGAGCCATCCATCTCACCAGCCTCAAATATTTTATATTTGTCCTGGCATTCCTCCAGTTTTCCCATCCACCACTCCTTTATTTCACTTGAACTCAATGGACTCAGAACCGTCATAATTTGCCGGGCGTTGGTGGCACACACCTCTCATACCAGCACTAGGGAGGCAGAGGCAGGAGGATCTCTATGAGTTTGAGGCCAGAGCTAGTTCCAGGATAGCTAGGGCTGTTGCACAGAGAAACCCTGTCTTGAAACACCAAAAGAAAATTGTCATGATTTTATCATACTTTCTAAACTTCATTATTGTTGTATACAATGTTGTCATGGCAGGCAAATGATGGAGGGACTGGTTCTTCCTTCCACCATGGGTTCTGTGGATCAAAACTCAGGTTGCCAGGGTAGCACCTTGATGATGTATTTTTGAAGCTTAAGTCACCCCAAGTTGCCCAACAGAAGGCCCTTCAAGCTGTCTGTTATGTCCCTACAGTGTCTGGCACAAGATGTCTTTGAGCTCACCAGAAGTGTCACATTGTTCAATTCTCCAGGTATTCTCAAGTATCTATCTATTATTCCCTTTCAGCCCTGTCCCCCTCTTCATGGGGAGTCAACATTAACCCTGTTGCTATCTTCTATCATCGTTCACATTCACATAACAGAGCGAACACACAGAGATATATTCTTTCTAGCTCCCAAGGTTTTAACTCAAACAATAGCAATCTACTCTCACTGGTTTGTCTGTGCTTGTAGCTTGTGTCTGTCATTATTCTGAAAGCTGTCCATGACTCCATCCTCAAGCAGTTAGGAAGCTTTATGGCAAGTCCCAAACGTTTTAGATGAGAAAAGCCCATGGCAAACTGACCGAGGCTGCATTAGGTAACCTACTCACATGCTGTCCAATCTTGGACTCACACCCTAGGCTTGTTGACACCTACTTATCTTTCAAACATCATTTCCTTTGGGAAGACTTTCCCTTCCCTTTCTCCTTTTCCCCAAACTAGGCGCTGTCCCCTAAGGTTTCTGACCATTACGCATGATTTCTCCCTAGCATATGTTAATGGGTTCAATTTGCTTCCTGCTTCCATGAGGACAGGGACTGCCTCTCTCGTTTGTTAATGACACACAGTAGTTGCTCAAGAAAAATGTGTGAAGTGGAACTTGAACCCAAGCCCTCCAGCTACCCAGTTTTTTCCTCTTTTGCCCGGATCAGTCCCGGAGCAGCTTTAGATGGAATCCTAAAGGGTAAAAATTTAAAATCTCAATAGAAAAAAGTCAGGGAGTTTTTCTATTAAAAAAAAAAAAAAAAACTGCGCAGAAACTGCCCAACTCAAGGTGTGGTCACCGCAGGAGGGCGTCAATCAAGAAAATGCCCCTTTGCCCCGGAGGCGAGTGAAGCCCCAGTGCCCGAGGCCACACTGAGCAACGCGCGACGACTTTCAATAGAAAACATGTGTAAAACCTCGGAGCCAGGCGCACAGCTGCCTTCAGGGCCCCAAGACAGAGGTCCAGGAGCAGCCCCCCGCCCTTCCACTGGATCGAAGAATACTGCACAGCATCTGCCGGGTGCTGTATGATTCAGGTCTTGCCTTGATTCTTGTCTGGAGCAGATTCTGCCAAGCATCGAGGGAGGTGGCTGAGTTCGGGGGTTCCAGGTAGAATACGGAGCACCTGCAGTCTTACTCAGAACCCGTCTGGGACGCAGTCAAAGGCTAGGGTCTTCTTGGAGCTCTGAGCAGCAGACGGCCCAGGCACTAGACAGTGCCACCGTTACCCCAAGGAGCGTAGCCTCCCGGGAAGTTGCTCTGGCTGCGGGAAGTGCCATCCTGCCGGCGACCTCCTAGCCCGCAGAGTCCCATCGCTCCTCCAGCGGCCAGAGGCTGCCCGAGTTTTGGCAGTGGTGCCTTCCCGCTGGGATCCGCGTTCCTGATACAAGCCTTGTGCTCTCTCACCTCTTCGACGGTCGCAGTCGGCCTGGAGCGCTGGCGGCGGCGGGACACCCGGGAGCAAGGTCCCTGGAGCTCCACAGCCCGAGCGTCTCGGGGGCGGGAGCAGGGCGGGCGGGGGCGGGTCGGGGCAGGGGCGGAGGCGAGTCCGCGGCCCGCGCCATTGGCCGCAGGGCCTAGCGGCAGGAAGGGGCCCGAGCGCGGCCCCACCCCGTGGCTGCCCGAGCCTATCGCCGGGAGCGCGGAGCGCAAATAAATGTAGCGCGGTGGCGCGGGCCGGCAGCTCTCTCCGAGGGGCTGCGGCGCAGCCATGCAGTTCCCGCACCCGGGGCCCGCGGCTGCGCCCGCCGTGGGAGTACCGCTGTATGCACCCACGCCGCTGCTGCAGCCCGCGCACCCGACGCCCTTCTACATCGACGACATCCTGGGTCGCGGACCCGCCGCGCCCACCCCCACGCTGCCATCCCCCAACTCCTCCTTCACTAGCCTCGTGTCCTCCTACCGGACCCCGGTGTACGAGCCCACGCCGGTCCACCCAGCCTTCTCGCACCACCCCGCCGCCGCGCTGGCCGCCGCCTACGGCCCCGGCGGCTTCGGAAGTCCTCTGTACCCCTTCCCGCGGACGATGAACGACTACACGCACGCCCTGCTCCGCCACGACCCCCTGGGTAAGGCGGCCGGGGTTGGCGGGGCTCGAGAGCGGGCGTCCGTGAGGAAGGCGCACCCGGCGGGTGGCAGGCAGCGCGCGGGAGGCGGCGGGGGCGGACGGGAGACGCGGGAGAAAGTTGCGGCGAGAGCCCTGAGCGAGCGACTGGCGGGTGCGCGCGGGCACAGGAGGCGCGGGCCCCGCCCGGGGACGCGCTGCTGGAGCTGGGACGCTCGGCGACTCTGATTGCTTTCCCTGCACCTTGCAGACGTCAGGGCGAGCGTAGTCGGGAGAAGGTCTGGGACGCCCAGGGTAGTAATGGTGGGCAAGCCCTGGCCACGCGTGTCGGCCCGGGTGGGGCCCTCTTAGCGGGCGTCTCCGGGAAGAGGACGTCGGGGCGCCCCGAGCCTGGCCCCTGCAGCGCAGGGATAGCTGTCCGCCCGGGAGGTTCCTGGGCTGGGTTTGGTTCAACAAGCTTGTGCAGTGAAGGAGCCTGACCCTTTCCGTTCATACAGGAAATCTTGAGCTCTCGATAGGAGAAAATCTGGTTTCTGAAGCTGTTAAGTGTTTTCCTGGCTGCATGAAGCAGACCCTTCCCCCGGAGTAGTGCACGCTGCTGATTATTTTATCGACATCCTCAATACAGACAAATTCAGGAAACACTCGACGTCTGATAGCCAGGATCCGTTTTTCTGATATTGTTCATTTCCTCTGTGTGGGATGTGACTTTATGGCAGCTAAAATAACCAGTTGCTTCCTCTCTGCCTAGCCCCCCCCCCTTTGGAGGCTGTTTTGCACCAGTCTGAAGCCTGACGCAAGCAAAATCTCGAAAAAACAATGCCAGCTTTCAAAATGTTTAGGTGTAGGCCTGTAGACCGAGGGGCGGACATACCGACGCGTCACCACTTTGGAGTAGGAAGGTGCAGACCCCGAACAGTTAGGAAGAGCGACACAGACACACTGACTGCATGAGATTTTCGGGGCTTGTCCCTACAATGTTCCTAAGAAATAAATAAGCAACGGTGACTAGGTTCAGGGCCCGAGTCCCTCATCGCCCGGCCCGCGCAGCCTGATTCCCTAGAAGGAGTAAGGGGGAGGGCTCCCCAGGCTTTAAAGTTAACACTTAGGCGGTTTCACTGGGGACCTTGAAGACAATTAACATTTTAATTAATTAGCATTTTAATGTCAGAATTTTATGACATAGCCTACAGCGCTCCTCTTCTCACCGCTAGCTACCGGGATTTGGGGTGTGGGTGTTAACAATTTTTTACTTAAAAGGTTATCACTATTTGATTTTTAAATTTTAGCCTTCAGGGTGTGTGGCCGCTCCCCACAATCTCCCTGTGGGGCATGAACGGTCCTGGGGCAAACGTTTTCACAAAGATCGCCCTGGTTTCCTTGGGTTTCTGCTGGGCCTGAGCAGAAGGAAGCTTTTTTTTTTTTTTTCTTTTTGAGACAGACCAACAGGAAACACATTGACGGAAATGTTGCCATAGCCCGCGGGGTGGCTTTAACTGGCCGCCCCCGCAGGCCGAGTGTGAAATCAGAGGAGGCCGAGGTGTGCTCCAGCCACGATTGGAGGCCCCACTCGAGGCCAAACACAAGCACCCTGCGAGAGCTTCAGTGTAACCGGGCCTTGGGGCGTAACAAGCCCGCTTCTCCCCCTAAATGCGCACATTGCATCCTTTGCAAAAAAGTTTTGTACATACAAGAGCGGGTCGGTTAAAGAAGATTGTTTTAAGCCAGGCAGGGATTCTTTGGAGCTGAGGAGATATGTTTGCATTTAGCCACAGGTGAGGTGGTCAGGTAGTGCAGTGTCTTCAGTGTTCAGGGGTGGTCTGCGTGCTAAACAGTCTAACTGACTTTGTGTGCATTGGTAGGGACTGTTGAGTCATTCCATCCATACACCTGAGAAAGTATGTGATGGGAACATGTGTGCTTTTTGCCGCTCTCCCCCCCTTCCCCCGCCCCCGTGTCACCTGGGACCAGGTAGGCTCTAGCGCCCTGGTTACCGCCTTTCTCCTGGCCCACAGGCAAGCCCTTGCTCTGGAGCCCTTTCCTTCAGCGGCCTCTGCACAAAAGGAAGGGCGGTCAAGTGAGGTTCTCCAACGACCAGACCATCGAACTGGAGAAGAAGTTCGAGACTCAGAAATACCTCTCCCCACCTGAGAGGAAGCGTCTGGCCAAGATGTTGCAACTCAGCGAGAGACAGGTCAGCTCACTGGGTCCCCAGCAGGCTTTTAGGGCTGAAGAAACCACTGGCACCCTGGGCATGTTCTGCCCTTACCCAACTGCAGGGCTGGTCCTCACCATAGCACCAGTCCCTTCTTCCTTCCTCCCCAAGTCTCTTGGGATTTGCGACTTTCTGTAAACTTTCTTTTCTTTCTGTAGGTCAAAACCTGGTTTCAGAATCGACGAGCTAAATGGAGGCGACTGAAACAGGTATTGACATGGCTCTGTTTCTATGGAAATAAATGTTTGTATCATGTTATCTAAGTGCGGAGACCTGTTGTGGGTTGTATGCAAAAGTCATTTGAAGAGACTGTTTAACCTCTTCACCTTGATTAAAAAGGCAAATAGTCCTGCTGAAATTCAGGATGAGTTGCTCAGGTGGCATTAATGCTAAAAGCACCTAATGCAGTCCCTATATCAATTACGCCAGGGTTTCACACACTGGCCAGTAAACTGCCTGGCTAATTGTTTTATAAACCCCATATGTTGTTTATCTCATTAACGCAGGAAAGATAAAGTAATTGACAGTAAATGACTTAAGTAGTTATCTTTGGGAGAAAATTGTTTCTTTTATTTACATAGCCATAATAAAACCAGGCAGGACTCAAGGGTAAATATAAAGACACAAACACCTTTAAGTCTTGTTTGCACTTTTTGAAAAGGAAGAATTAAATATCAAAGAGTTTAAAAATTATTATCCATCTTTTGCCAGCTCTTAAAAATGAATGTGAAACATGTAAAGAAATAAACACGCCCATTTGGAAAATAGCTTAAGCTTCCTAAGAAGTGTCCCAATAGCTTTGTTAAGAAACGTGATACTAAAAAAAAAAAAATAATAAATAAAGGCTAACTCATCTTCCAGAGCAACCCTCTGACTTAGAGCTAAGGATTTGGTCCTGAGGTCCCAGATTGGATGTTTTCAAAGTTATCTGACAACCTCTGAATGGCTCACCTGGCAGTGCCTTAAGTAACAGATGATGAATAAGTGGGGAAATTTAATGTAGATTTTTAAGTTGTATCATTGCACTTGGAAAAAAAAGATGCTACCCGGAAGAACATTTTTGAAACAACAAAAGACTTCCTGTAGTTGTATTATTCCTAAATTATTTGAGGATCCCCTTTCATCACTAAACATGTACAACTTTTACAAATTTGGTCACTGGAGAATTACAATGTTTCTATATGATGTTTACATCCAAATTAGACACCCATAGGCCTAAACACTCACTGACTGGGCTTGGTTCCTACTCAAAGGCATGGAGCTAGTTTCCCAAGAACTTTTAAAACAGTGCTTTCTGTGAAGTGTGGGAAATACTTTTCCCCAGAAAATTTTACCCAGATTTTTAAGCAAATTGCAACTTCTTCAACAATATTATTTGAGTCTGTGATTTTGTAACTTGGTACATAGTTATGTGTGTATGTGCTCATAAATTTACTTAAAAAGATAAATGGAAAAGGAATGAATGTATAATTTCACAGCTTCTTAATTTAGTATATGTTTTTTCTTTTTTCTTTTCTTGGGGGTGGGTAGGCTTTGGTACAACAAACCAGCCATTAACATTTGTTCTTTTTAAAATGCTAGGAGACCCTGTTTTGGGCAGTATTTAAAGGTTGAGGACTGTGCAGTCTGGATTAACTAAGGTTTTTTGTTTGTTTTTTTTTTGTTTGTTTTGTTTTTTGTTTTTTTCCTTACAAACTGAAGACCTTGATGGGATCATGGGTCTGTGTCATGTCTAATCTCTCTCCCATGTGACTTTGTTCCTTTTCTTTCCAATGGGGAAAAGAATCACAAGTTTATCTTCTTAGGAAAGAGACTTTAGACGAAAACAGTTTATCAACTAAACTTTGTAAGCATGCCAAAGGCTGGGGAGAAATCCATTTTGTTTTTTACGTCTTTGATCTCACTGTCTGCATTTTCATTCCCCTCCTCATTCAGGAGAACCCTCAAAGCAATAAAAAGGATGAGTTGGACAATTTGGACACTTCCTGTGACCAGGGCCAACACTCTCCCAGTGAACAGAATAAAGGTGCCCCTTTGGATAGTTCTCAATGTTCACCGTCCCCAGCCTCGCAGGAAGACCCCGACTCAGAGATTTCAGAGGATTCCGACCAGGAGGTGGACATTGAAGGTGACAAAGGCTACTTTAATGCTGGATGACGGTCACCGCCGGAGATGCAGTCAGAGACCAGACTTTCGAGAATGTTCTGCTACAGACAAACTGGAAAACTATGGGAGAGAAAAAGAGTATCTTCTATTTGGTGTGCTGGCTAATTAACAAACATATATTGAAACTTTAAATTTTGACTTATAGATGGTGTATATACCAGCTTTAAGTTGTTTTGATAAAGTAACTAAATGTATCCCCATTTTTAAAAAGTGAATAATTTCTATTTATGAGAAGTAATTTGAACTTTTTTGTTTAAAATTTAAATTATAACTTTAAAGGTTTTATAGGCTGCTCCTGAATGACTTCTCCTAAATCTGTGGCTATACACTCAACTTCAGGGGTACAGTTAGAAAGGGGGTCCATGCTTGTGGCTCCTTGGAGCAGGTTCAAAGGGCACACTCGACTTTTGCGTGACATCTCACATTGCTGCCTTAACGCCTAAGCCATTCCAGAGCACGTGGCTCCAGGAGTGTGTTCTTAGAAGCAAGATAGCTGATAAGGTTCTCAAAATCTTGTTTTGCTCTGTCAGTACCTCTCTTCAGGGATGGCTCAGTCCCTACAGGCAGGAAAACTGATTCATTTGTGGCTGAACGTAATCAATCCCTTGTGAACTAGAAACAGCAGGACAATTAAATGTAAGTGATTGTAGATAGTGTGTTTTATAGAAACAATGTCTATAGCATGTATATAGAATTATTCACTGTAAAAAAACCCTGCCAAAATGATGTTTAATTTTTTAAAAAATTTTTTATTTGATGAGTTAACTTTCATGACACTGTTGGAATTCTTATTCTTTGGTTAGAAAAAAGACCAAAAAACAAACAACAAAAAAACTAAAAACACAACTTGAATTGCTTTGGTGTGTGTGCGTGCGTGCGCGCGTGTGTGTGTGCGTGTGTGTGCGTGCGTGTGTGTGTGTGCGCGCGCGTGCGCGTGTGTGCATGTGTGTGTGTGTGTGTGTGTGTACACGCTTGGCACAGGACTGGGAGTGGAGGGTTGGGGCCCCATGGGTGGTGGGGTGTCCATGTCCTGGAGTGTGAATTTGAATTTTTCTAGGGGGTGTTAGCTTGGGGGGGGGATTGTTTTGGACCAGGGTACCAAGCAGGGCCGGTTGGAGCACCATCGATTGGTGAGTGAGGCCACTGTCCTTGACCAGCATGAGTCAACAGTGCGTCACCTTCACCCTGGTGGGAGCCCAGCTCCTGTGCTCTGTGCAGGGTTTGGAGGAACAGGAGATTTAGAGGATCTGGGAATGTTAAAGCCAGTGGCCTAGAGAGAATCTGAGAGCAGCTGCTCTGGCTGCCCTGAGGTGGGTGTGAGAGAGACCCATGGGATCAGCACTCTGCCTCCTCCCTGCACACACGCTTCCTGTTGGTAACTCCTGTCAGTGTTGAGTTGGGGACAGCAAGCAGAATCAGTGAAGCATCAGGGGAGTCAGGAATCTGAGGGTCCTGGGTGGGTAATTGTGGGAAGAGGGAGGAACAGTGCTGAGCAGGTAGACATGCCCCTGGGTGGGTACTAGCCTGCATCCAGGCTAGCAGCCCTCCCTCAGAGACCTGTTGGCCTCCGTGGAGTCTCAGTTGTACAGTAACGAGCCCGTGACAGAATCTGTCCAGGGAAAGCTGTTGTTTGTTCCCTGTATATGGACATCCAGGTGAAGATAGGTCCTCACACCCTGCCTCATTAGAGTCCAAGAAGGGCCATGGAATTGCAGGTGAATTAGGTTTCCAGAAAATACTGAGCTCTGGTCCTTAGGCAGAGGGAGGGCATGGGGAGGCCTGGAAGTTGGAATTTTAGTTCTTGGTCTCAGAACTCCGAGAGAATGTCCATTGAGCTACACAACTCCAGGTCCCGGGGCCCATCTCAGCTCATGTTTGGCACTGTCCTCACATCTTAGTGTCAGAGCCCAAAGGAGCCTGCCGGTGGGAGAGCCTTGTTTCCAGTCGACTGCAGGCTCCACGCTCCAGACCTGCCTAACAAATTACATCCAAGTTTCAAAGGCCATAGTCTGCTCCGAAGGTGGGACTGTCTATATTTAAGTTCTGGAGAATGAGACATTTGTGTGGAATTAAACTGATCCCAAAACCTCGGTGTTTCATTGCTGGAGATAACCTCTGGGTAATGTTTACTCTCGGGAGGAACTGTATCATGACCATTAGGCAGAGGGACAGCTGCTTCTGTATTGATTGACACTAGCAAAGCTAAGGGGTGAAATCTTGTTTTAAAGTGGACAATTTGCTGAAAGCATGCTGCTTTCCAACTGGAAGCTAGCCCAGGTTCCCTTCAAGTTGTTCACATTCTGACTCTAAACATGTCCTTAAGAACTGAGTGGTGGAGGAAGTACAACATTCTCAGGACACAGGTTAGCATTAACTTTTTATAAAGCTCTCTGTTACAAGCTGCCAATGGATATTTACAAACTCTTACAACAATCCAGACATTTTTCATTTGTTTGCCCTTGGGCTATTTCATGTTGAAGCGGCATGGATGACCTTTATGGCACAGCTCCTGTCTTGTTTTTTAACTCTTTATCAGGAGATTCAACTTGAAAAACGGTTATCATTTAGCAGAAAGACAAACAGAAAAGCACATTTCTGTAAGCAAAACGTTAATGATTGGAAGAATTGTCCTAATTTCACTGTGACAGTGTGTGATTAATCCCCTGGGTCGTGTACTTATAGTTTAAGTTATTCAGTTCATTGCTCTTTGATATCCAGAATCCTACCTAACTTAATAGGGTATTGATTTTGCTAGATGATGTACTTTGACTCTTTACACAACATCACTTTTAAGGATGACTAGCCTGTTGCGTACTATTTTATTTAGAGAACTATTGCATAATGTTTCTTTTTTCTTTTCATGGTTTTTCTCAGGGCAAAAGCTGATAAGACATCTTGTGGGAAAAGCAGAAACCATCACTGATAGTGAAAGTACCTATTCTCTTTCAACATTTCTGACAAGCTCTTTCATTTGTGGTTTTATCGCTGTGACTATTCGGCTTGGTTAAAATGTGGACAGGACAAGGATTCAAGAAAACACCAGAATTTCCACTCTGGCCATACTGCCTTGTGAAAATGATTTTTTTAAAATCCAGTGATTTGTGATCCAATGATTCTGTGACTGGAGGTTTTTACATCTAAAACACCAGACAGAATGTGGAACACCAGCCACCCTGGATGCCATCATATGCTTGTCATTTTGTGGCCAAAATAATCACAGACTCTACTAGCATTTACTTTTCATCCATTGAGGGTTTTTTGTTTTTAAATCCCTGGTGGACCCTGTAAGTGCCCAGCAGCAGCATAAGTTTGTTCCCTGAGGTTTGTTTGTTTTGATATTACTAATCTAAACATGAAGCACTTGGTAGATTCCTTATCAGAACTTCAAGATCCACCGAGCAGCAGCCTCAGAGATGTCTGTAGTAATCCTCATGGAGGCAGGCAGGCAGGTAGGCGTCCTCTACCTTGCTTCCTGGCGACATGAATTCTAGCTTCCAGCCCCTTTGGATGCCGCTCTTGAAAGCAGGCATTCGTACCTGGATCCCAGCAAATGCCATGGCCAGCAAACCCAGGAGTCTAGGCAAGCCCAGCAGTCTTCAGAAGTTGGACACACACAAATCTCTTCAGACTGAGACGCTGTAGGAAGGAGAACTTGGGAGCTGACGTTTCCTGTCTGCGGAGGATCATGACTTTGGAGCATCCGGCGGCGGCCACCGCGAGCTTTTCGGGGCTGCCAATGGTCCTGCACAATTCATCGTTCTTTTTAATTTTCTAGGAGAAGGAGGGGGTCATTGATAATTTAGGGTGATTTTTCCATATGAAAACCAGTGAGGGCTGCTTTCCGTCGTAGAAAGATTAGTCAAGGTGTTATTTCTAATCCTTCTTTAGGATCGCTTTTAATTTGAAAGGGGTGATTATTGTTACAAAAAACGACGCAACAATTAGAAAACAAACCCTTAAGATATGCAGATGAGCAAGCACAGTAAAGCAAGTTAACAGTAGAGGGTCTCCTCCCAGTATTCACAAATAACTTGCAGGGAGAGAGCCCTGTTGGGCCTGTCTCAACCTTTATATTTTTTATATATTTTATACCTTAATTATATCCTCCATTTCCCCCCACACTTCCTTTTTTGCCCTTTTTCATTCTCCCACACCCATGAAGCTTGATACTTACGTAGTTTATTTTCCCATTAAGAACAGAAAATGAATAATCTCCACTCTTTAGATGTCAGTGTAAAGAACAATGTTTTCTTGAAGTTCGTAGGAGTGTTATCCAGCTTCTAACCCTGTGGCTACAGGGCTTCAGGTGTGTGAGGAATAAAGATAAGCAGAACCAGGACCTCACAGGAACATCAACAGTAGCAGAACCCAGGGTCAAGGCACTTGGCACCCTTGGGACACATGGATGGATGCCTTGGAGAGGATGAGGGCAGACTCAGCCAGGGCTCCTATTTGACAAAACGAAATGGGATGCTGGCCCATAAAGAGGCTTGACCAAGAATTCAGGTCTGGCCGGGCGGTTGGTGCTGCATACCTTTAATCCCAACACTTGGGAGGCAGAGGCAGGTGGATCTCTATGAGTTTGAGGCCAGCCTGGTCTACAAAGTGAGTTCCAGGACTGTTACATAGAGAAACCCTGCCTTGAAAAAACAGAACAAAACAAACAAACAAAAGAAAAAGAAAAAAAAAATCAGATCTGGAATTCAGATCTGGAGGTGGGGAAGGGGAGGGAACCTGCATGACTTCCATCATTGGAGGTTTTGGGATTTCAGGATGTAGGATGCTCTTCACTTTTGCATCTGCAGTCCCTCTCCCTGGAGCATCCTTTTCCTGGGTAACCGCTTACTGTCTCCTCACATGCACCCCGGACCCAGCCACCCTATGTATAGCCACAAAATCCTCTTCTCTCTCCATTCCCCATAGTCTCCCTTTTCTCTACTTCATTTACTACAATAGGACACATTTTCAGGAGACTGAGGCAGGGAGGTTGAAAGTTCATGGCCTTTCTGGCTTACAGAATAAATCCCAAGCTACCCTGGGCAGCTTAGTGAGAACTTGTCACAAAAATAAAAAGTAGAAAGAAGGCTAGAGGTGTACCTACCTCAGTGGTACATTGAGGCCCTAGATCCAATCCCTAGCACCAGCAAATTAACAGTGTGTGTGAGGGGGGTGGGGAGGGAGAGAGAATGTGTGTGTGTGTGTGTGTGTGTGTATGAGTGTAAGTGCATTAGTGTTTGTAAGGGAGGGAGAGAGAGAGTGTGTGTGTGAGTGTAAGTGCGTGTTTGTAAGGGGGGGGAGAGAGAGAGAGATCCTGGCAGGCTACATAGATGAGAGTAGGCTTCACCTCCTAATCCCCTGTGTTGGGATTATAATCAGGAGCTGCCATGCCTGGTATGTTTTACTGAGTTATTTCTTCTCTTCAGAAGATATTAACTGAGAATCAGGATTTTTATCTGTTTTATTCGGGGCTGTACTTTCTACCCAGAAACACAGTAAGCATTGGAAACTGTGGGATCAACAAGCAGATGAACATACATTACATATGCTGTAGGGATTATTATTAATAGTACTGTTATTATTATTGACAGAGCCTCAGTGTGCAGCTCTGGCTGTCCTGGAACTCACTCTGTAGTCCAGGCTGGCCTTGAACTCACAGAGATCTACCTGCCTCTGTCTCCCAAGTGTTGGCATGAAAGGCCAACCAACAGCTGGGCCGAAATATCATGTAACATCTTTCAGTGTTTCTGTCCTTATGACATCATTAT